TGGATGATTTTCTTTAAAAACGCCGAAGGCAGTATTGGCTTTGAGTTTGACTTGTTTTGCAGTGAAGTCCCTTTTTTCTCGATCACTACAGTACGATATATCTAGTTAGATATGTGCCTTTCTTAYTTTGCCGAAGGGCTCGATTTAGAGAGTCGGAAACATCCAAATAGCTACTCCTGTATTGAGCCAATTTAGGTCATATTCATGTATAAGCCTCCTCTTGTGTTTAAATAAAGGGTGTAAGATTGAAAGAGGAAATCGGATYGAAAAAATTAAGTGAACTTTATATAGAGAACTAAAAATCAGTAAACTACTTGTTTGATAATGTGTTGGTTCATCGGTATTTTTTTCCCTAATCTTTACCGTGCGATACGCTGTCATTGCTGGGGGTGCATTAGATTAACTTATGGCTAAGCAGTTGGTTTGTGCTTTCATCAATTACATGGCTTATAGTATAGTGTGTTGTAATACACTGGGCACTGCGGGGACTCTTCGTGCGTTTAACTTTAAACACTTAACCCAATACATGGTATTGTTCTCCATTTCATCTCGGCATGAGACACAGTTATACTCCCTTGAAGTTAACTATGCCAATCCTTTTGTTTATCACTTAAAAAGTCATCAGAAAACTGTTTTCACGGAAGGGTCCAAGTGATTGCATTTACACGCGTTTTAGCGCATCTTATCTATCCTGTTTTCACGGAAGCAAAAACCGTTCAACAACCTCAGAGCAGTTACAAATTGTGCGCGGCGCTTTGATTCCTGAGAGCCRTKTTTCTAATAGCACGTTTTAAAGCCAATTTTCGTRGCATGTTACTATAGCTAGATTGATACGTCGATATCCGGTTAGATATATCTTACTCTCTAGTAAAAACTTGTTAGTTTTGGTTTTTTGTTTCCTTTTTGCCTACAAACCATGTTATTTCCTTTTGAACGCCGCCGATTTTGCGTGYAAGACTGGGTTAAAAGCACTAAAAGTAAAGGGAATATACGAAGCTTTCAGTAATCACTAGTATCATCTCGATTACAGTAAAAYCAATCTTGCTTGTGAGTTGTTGTTTTTTAAGAGCAACTAAAAGCAACCGGTATAACGTTTGCCGCGCTCTTGTTTTTGTTCCTTTTTACATTTCTTTTTCAGTTGTGGACGGATTTTTATGAAGGAATTTGGRATTTGTGGSTTTGTTTTTTATGATTTACCTTTAATACCAAAGTTAAAAATTTCACAGCGAAGACTTCCACCTGTTTTTCATTTAAGTTTTTTTTTAATAAAACGTGAACATTCCGCGCTGAACGCTAATAGGTAAGTCGTAGCCGCTCCTCCAATGAGACCCTACCAAACCGTGTTATGAAGACACGTTCAGTATCACCCCGCCTCTAGCTAACCGAACGTGTTCAATATTTCATTGCATAACATTCTACCAGTGGAAATAGTTAATAAGTTGACGGACCAAGAGAGTTCATAGTCTAGCCATTGGTACATAACGAGTTGGGATTACTTGCTGTGAACCATGTAGCTAAGACGGGCGTCCTTCAACAAAGGGGGCTACCGTTTCACGCAYTGAAATTAAAGAAATATCAAAAGACRTTTTCTTGACTTTTGAAAGGGCGTATTTTGCGAATGAAACTGTGAGGGAAGAGGTGATTGGTTTGATAAGAGAATAAAGACAGTTGACTATGGAAGGGTGACGCTTTGTGGTTTAAAACCGGGTAATAACTGACGACGCCACTGATTAARATCACAATACTTCACTAATGGGCTCGCGTTCCGATCTAAGCTTATCCTTTACCAAATCTCAAAGTTTTCAACAACCTTTCCACAGCATAAAATACGAATTAGYAACACCCTGTGATCAATAATACGCGCTCAAGAAAAACATTCCATCACGGTTTTTGTGCCCTGGCGCGCACTTTGTCGTTTTATCCACCATTTGGTTTTCGAGAGTGATTCATTTTTGATTGGCTTATCTAACAGCGACCAATTATACTATTGATTTTAGAACGTTTGTGATGTACCAGCTCTTTGTTTTGTTTGGTTGAGAAATTAGATGCTTTGGGCTTACTCTTCACCATAAATATTTGTTGTCTACCACAGGTGGCTAGATCGTCGTTATTTGCTTCAAATCCAATCAAGATTTCCACTGATAACTTTTCAATTTCATTCCATTTTTAACCTATTTGCCTGGTGTTTGTAAGTAGGTATCAATTAACTTTGTCTAGATCACTTTCATGAGGTTTGGCAAGGCTATGTGGTTAATCAGTGCTTGACGGAATGCCGCGCGTTTCAAAGTAAAAAAACAAAGATAGATTTAAACTTAAATAAAATCTATATGAAAATTCTCGACCAAGTTCTTTCTAACCGTCGAGTAGCACTAAGTAAATAACGCAGGCAGATTTACACAAACATTGATCTTGGCCACGTTTCAATAACATTTTGAATCGACCCTCTCCGTTAAGTTAGCATTTTTCCGTAACCCGAACCCGTTACCGAGAGCCCCAGACCATCGCAAAACCTCTAAGACCTCCAACACTCTCAACTCACATCAATAAAGCTTCAAAATCGAATTAAMCTCAAGACAGCTTTATCCCTAATGTACATAGCAAAAACGCCAAGTAGCGTTCTCTATTTGGAACCTAACTGTGTTTTAAAAATTAAACTTGCGAAAATCAAAATACAAACAGAGACGAAAAAACTCGAATACCGTTGAGTTGAGTGGGGCTGTCACTCTAACCCCGCATTCTTTACTTGCACTAAAACAGTTAGGAAAAAAAACCTTTGGTGATGTATTGTTCATTGTGATGTAATTACAGAAACATAAGAGGCAGGCGCAAAGTCATGTGAAACAAAAGGTTCAGTTCAGCCCGTGTCGTGTAAGAATTATTGTGCTTATTATATGTGAATGACACCATCATGGCATTTGTTGACGCACCGTTTAATTGGCTAGAAGAAAACAAGACCACTCCTAACCCGGGATTATTATGGTGTGCCATTTAAAACGCTTCATCCTTCAGCACTCGATCTGTCAGCAAAGCTTTCATCTCAATTTTCAAGACTTTTAAGCACACACTATGTGTGCACCTCACGAGATCCAAAGCCTAAACAAATGAAAGCGAATTCGGAATTTCGCATTGGATTTGTCGGGCTGTCAATTAAGCGGGATTTCTATTCTTGGCCTAATGTTTGTTGTATCTTGTGATTTTCATTGTAGGCCTTTGATAGCAGTGAATGGGTTACAACGAATGATTGATTGCTGTTGTACATTATAAATTAATTAACATTGTTTGCTGGGAAACAATATATCTGACGATCACACCCCCTCTTAGTCCGGCAACAGCATATCACCACTGTCGCAAATCTAACGGTCTCACTACAGTTCTGTCTCTAGTTCGTGCGGCGACAGCTCTCTGATGAAAACGCAACACAAGAATATCTGACAAGACGAACCACTCGACAACCACATGGTTACTAACTACTAGTAAATCTACTTCAGCTGAAAATACGAAGTCTGCCGGAATAAATTCAAGATGCCAAAATCTTTTCTGGTCAAGAAGAAGAAACCTCGACGGAACTCTGAATCCGGCGACGCTCCAGCTCAAGAAGTTGACGTTCAAAGCKCCGGTGAGTACTTGAATCGAAATTTTCAATAGTTTTTAGAGATCTTAGCTTTTTACTTGACCCTACGGTCGACTTATTTGGCTCGCGAGTGCTGCTAACATTTCCTGTACTTCCCGTTATATGTTAGGTAAAGTGTCACACTACCAGATGTCTTACTTAGAGCGCTTTTCTATGTTGTAACGGGTTGTAGTGTATTCAAAACGTGGCTTAAAATTCCGCCTCTAATTTATCTGAAACGTAGAGATTTCAAATCTTAAATCGAAGAAATTTTAGATTTCATAAGATCCTAGGGGCTCCAAGGAAAACTCGAGAACAATAGCAATGTTACTGTTTGAAACTTGACTGATCGCTATCTTTGGCCTTGAAATCACTACACACGTTTACCGATTYGATTCACCAGCAATTRTTTTGAGCTCCACTGACTGACTTTTACTGCCAACGCGGGTCTTTCGCAACTCATTTGATTTCTTGGTTTATATATAGGCTAATTAAAACCGTTTACGCAACGAAGGAATTATGGTTTACATGAAACGGATATATGATACGCATGTTTGTCCCCGAACCCATTAGAAAGTCTTGTTTATACCTTGTAACTCACGTTAAGAATCACTGTTCAGGTCACGAATCTGCGCTCTATCATAAAACAATGGATTAAGCGCTTAACGAACGGTCAAATGGGCCTAAGTCGTTTGTTGCCTTTTCTATTGTACATCTTAGTGGTTTTTCAAGTAAAAGACAACTCGAACAAAGTCCGAGGAAATTGGGCCTGTTAGAAGTGTAATCAGTGATGGGTTTTCCACAATGTAAACGCTTTTAGCCATTCATATTCAAATTGGATCTCGTCAAGTAATAAGCGTCAAGTCATACATTGGGGCACAAAGAGATGGTTCTGTAAATCATTTAGACCAAGAACTTCAGCGCGTGGCTGTAATTATCGATGTTTTTAATGATTTTTAAGTCGAGAACCCCACAAGGCTATTCAACAAAGCCAAACGTTCCTGTAAAGTTAAGATGTTTACCAATATTTACCACGAGTGCAGCGTCAGTTACTTTTATGAATCACTAGACATTTGCTCCGAGTTCGAAAGAAAAGTAACTATTTCACTCTCCACACAAAGTTCGATTAAAACGATACAAGTTGTAAGCACTAAGGATTGATCTTTGATTATTGACTCATTGTCAGCGACGTCAGCACGGATTTTACTCGATTTAACCTTCGTTACGCCGTCAAATCCTTTATAACTTGGATATCAAAGTGTCACATAGGCACACGCCCACCGAGCACCTCGACTTTCAGTTATATTAAAACACCATGGAAGTATTTTTAAAGAAACATATCWAAGGGACTAGGGATCCTGGAGAGAGAGTGCGTTCAGAGAAAGAACAGTTTGAACTAGATACGAGAATCTAACAGATGTTTTGCGCGCTAATCGTAATGTGCTGGTCTGGCTGTCGTATAGTGTGCTTAAATATATGCATTTTTGACACAAACTCATAAAATTCACAATGTTAATCGAGCTGGATTTTATTTCAAGTCATCGCGATCATRAATCAGATTTCAACTTGGGCTTTTATTGATTTCTAGGCTSAAAGTCAAGTTTTCTTGWCGCGCTCCACTGAATGTAGTTCTTTAAAATCTCCTGTGTTAAAGTCATTTATGTTAAGTCAAAGTTAATCGAAATTAAATTGTCAAGTCGCGAATGTTGGGATAATAGGCCTATTCAATGCATTACACTTATTTGGGTCCGCCAATTTGAAAGCGAGAAGTCTAACACGTCCTTTAATCAAATCAACTTCATACTTTTCTCTGGAGTAAAATTAAATCTATYCAACAATGGGTTTGTGGTTAGAAGTCCGTAATTACAATAGTATCTTTAGGGTGAACATCTTGACGTGTCTGTATCGAATTAATGAGAAATGGCGCTTAAAAGTTTCCCTAAACGAGACAGCTCTCGTTCTAAACCCTCAAGTTTATTATCATCAAAACTTTGTTTCTAATGCTATTTGCTTTTACAAGGTGACTCATTTCCACGCTCGCTCGCTTTAATCAGAAAATTTACTGAGAAAAATGAAGCACTGTCAGATTTAACGTTGAGAGCCAGCTGGTAGCAAGAGCATCTCACTTTGGTCTACGGATATCCGTTTATTTTAGGAAATAAGTTACAAAATTTTTATTTTTCTTGAGTTAAAATCCCTTGAGCTTAAACTTTCACCTTGTTTTAATCTGGACGGATTTTATAGAATAAAATCGTCGCTGAATGATGCGTTCTGGGGCAAGGACTTCCGATAGAGGCTTGCTAGTAAGCCTTTGGATGTTGTTAGCCAGGACAGAACAATTTGAGTTTATTTTCTTTTGAAAGTCCTTGGATCAGCAGTGCTTACATCTTTCAATCTTAACCTTATCTTTTGTGACGAGCTGGATGTCAAATTCAATAAAAAACAATACAATGTGATAGTTGTATTGAAAGCTCACTTATTTCAAGTTTGATCCCATTGTGATAAGCCTTTACTCGTTTGAACAGGTTTTGAAAACTGAAGAGGAATTTCTCCATTTTTGTTTGTGGACCGTTGTGAAAAGCACGTAATAACTGCGGTGCTGCTGACAGATTGGCTCCAAAATCCACTACACGCTCAAACATATGGATTTTAACTTCTTACTCAAAACGCAAATGCATGGGTTCTATTGTAATTTCTGACATTAATCCTATGTAAGCGCTATTATTTAAGTCTTCATTCAMTTTGACCTTTCAATATGTATTGTCCTATTTGGGTTCAGCAACATACAACTTTCCTTTCAGCYTGAAGTAATTGTTCTTTCATTTTAAAAGTCAACATCAGATATTACTTGTATTACTGCCCCATTCCATTGGATTACATTATCAAAATCTTTACCGTGAAGGTGTATACATTCGCTATTGAATTAACTGAAGTCTCGCTTCTCCGGTTGTTGTTTTTTGTTTAGCGTTTCGTTCTTGTTGAACAGTCCGTCGACATGTCAACGTTTTGAAAGTCAATCCTGGCACTGCCCCAAGCTGGTGCTATGTATCCATAAGAATCAATGGACGGCCCATCTGTGCTCAAGCCGTTACATATTACACCATTCAATGAACAATGGAAGATATTTTCAATTTCTCTTAACTAAAGCAACGCTTTGTGCTGCAGTACAATCTCATGTGTGATGTTTTCGTTTAGAAAAGGAAAATATCCTTAAGCTGAGTAGTTTGTTTAAGATTTCCTGTTGTTTYTTACCCAAATAACACACAAGGAATGTTAGGATGTAACGTTTTAGTCCGTCCTATCAATTGTTTATTTATTATTTCAAAGGATTTAATACTTTTAGAAACCAAAGTCCATTATTTTCAAGTGTTGGGGTATTGTAATGTATAGAAAATCTAATTTTGAAGCAATTTACTTGTCGAGAAGAAAATTACACTTGACACGGTATTTTTCATATATTCTATTGTGTGAATTTAACGATACTAGCTGTAAATCACAAAGACGATATATAGAAAAATCTCTTTTTCTTGTGTTTTAGATTTTTTTTTCAAGACAGCCGGTCCAATGAAGGAAAAAGCAACAGCTTTACTTCTCTTTGTATTCATGYCACATTAGATATCACCTTCATAACTCGAGAATATTGCAACAAAAATTTTCCATAATGCTTTCTGTACTTGAAAAACAAAGGAAAAGGCTAATATTCTTCAGTATTTCCTCAAGAACTTCGTAATTTTATTTACAATTTACCAAAGAAAGATCAATTACAAATTTTAAACTGGTTAAGGAAGACGTTTTGTAATAAACTCCTGAACATCTCAAGTCATTTCTCAAACAAAAATTCGCTTTCTGCATTATTTATTAATGAAAATTAAATGTGTTGTAAAGAATGGTTGACCGGTGTTACTGTCTTACAGTTTATTAAAAAAGCTAACGAGAAATAATTTACAATTAAAACGGCTCGACGAAACGGTCGCGAGAAATCTTCTGCGCGAATCAAGTTTACTTGAAAAGCAATTTTTATCTTATCTGATATGTTTTATTGGTTCAATCTTTTAATCTAGAAGCCCATTTTCCTTGTCATGGAATACGACATTTTTAAACGAGATCTTATAAACCTATCAGTCACTTTTCAATCCCTTTGATCCAATCTTGAATCTCCCATTGGCTAGATATGAAGCAAACTGTTTTTAGTATCAACGGTAGTCTCGATGCAATCATGCCAACGGCGCGTTAGTCACCCAACCACAAATTATATAGAAGCGAAAGTCAATAAATCAGCCGAGGAACTTTATAAGTGATTAACGTAAATGATGCTTGGCTATACGGGGGGTGATTCCACTATAGAAATTAACACAGACTGAATTGAAAGGCTTTTCAAATTCCCGGTTTTTTCATATTCTAACAACTCTAACGTTTGTCAAAGAGGCTTTCTATTACTATATTTGTATCTCGTGTGAAGGCATGTATGTTATACGTGCAAGGAATCAGGATTCAGAGAAGTTGACACGAGTATTTCTGTCGTGACTCGAGGTACTCGAAATAAATTAGAGAGAAGACAATTTAGTTGTTTTTGACGAGTTTTCATTTTCTTTGTTATAACGCTAATCAACGGATCACTAAACCCATCTTTTCTGATTGAGAGTTCAATTATATATCACTTACGTTTGGCAAACAGTGCGTTAGACGGGTKKTTAGCTTGATTTCTTTGTCTTGTTGCTTCTTGGACTGTCATCGTACAAGTAGTTTATTCTATCAACTTCAGGGTGCAAAATAAACGGTGTATCATAGAATGGCCTATAACCATGCACATTCATATGGTTTTTACCTTTTTTTCGCTTTATTTAATTTTAAATTTTTATAATATAGTAATCTTACAACTATAATAATCAACTTTTGTTGTTGGTTCTCAAGCAAAGTTTTCATAGGTCAACTTTTAGTTCGTTTCATTTCGTCAGATATGCATTACATACATATATACATACATACGCTATATTGCATCCGCCCTGCACGGCGTTATTCTGCTGCAATGTATGATATCATAACAGAAAGAATCGCGGTAAGAGAATCAGTGCGTTCCATCAGTTAATCTAGYCGTACTTTTGTCTTTTTTCTTTCTCAAATTCACTAGAAACCGTTGCAGCATTACACTTTCCTGTTTTTAAGAACTACGGTCACATCCTGTCTTAGCAGTTCCGCTCTCATTCTTTCTTTCTTTCCTTTTCCATTGATTCAAGTCTCGCTGTGTAGCCATACTGTAACGGAACAAGGCTTAGGTAGTTCTGGTGTCCTTGAATAACGTCCACCTGAAAACTCCACTGTTTCTCATGATTTTCCATGTCAAAGCTGATATCAGCTAAAACATCGCACTAGTTTTATGGTCTATATTAAGCATATTGCCTTGCGTTTTTGATTTCGTTTTGACAATATCGAAATAACAATCCGCAAGTTCCCGTCTATTAAGAATCGTGTCAGTTTATTGTCCAGCCAGGAGGCCTGCCTGCGCTTTGGACTAATTCGCTGAAACTGCGCTTATTTGGAAATCTTGAAACATTTTCCACAATATCTGCAGCTTTCAATTCATTCTTATTATGTCGTCTTCATGTTTTTACTTTCATTGTGTRTCGTTATATAAAGCTGAAAGTTTATTTAAAACAATTCTATTTATACGTAACAATATAACAGCACCACTGCTTTTATGCAGATTTTTTGTTTTGGAAAAACCCAATTCAATAAACGTCGTGAAATTTGGAATTCGTATCCATATACACTATTAAACATCTTCAAAATTGAAAACTATTCATGCATATTCTTTCTCAGGAGAGTGTCATGTGATTGTATGAGTTTTATATCAAAAATAACATTTAGTGGGAAACAAAAGTCCTTAGTTTCAGTATATCTGCAGGTCAATGTTGCTTAGGCTTTTAGGTTAGAATTTTAATCAGTCATTCGATCCGAAACACGTCTCTCGTGGACAGTTCTTTCCATATCGTCAATTAATGATTTATACTCAAAACAAATCACATTTGTCTTTATGTTTTTGAGCTTTTTCCTGAACAAAATTATCCATCCAACGCTCATTATAATCATTTGAAAAATATCAAATTTGTATGCACTTTTTCCATCATGTTACAATGATAAAAGATTCAATACATTTTTAGAAAGATAACTAGCCTTTTAAAACAATATTAATCGATCTCTGTTTCCTTATTTGTATAATCTTGTAGGGGAATGTACATCTAGAGCTGAAAGCGATGAAGAAGACCTACAGAGTGAACTCAGCGAAGAAGAGAACGAACTGAAAGAACTTGACATAGACGCTGAAAGCCCAAAACAAGACAACAGGTCGCCAAATCCAACTCCCGAGAACATCTCAGAAAACCAGAATGACATAGAAATGACAGAAGAGTCTGAAATCGAAAAGACGAACAATAACGAACAAAAGGAAAAGATTTTACATGAAAAAGACTTTGAAATGAACGGTTATCGAGATTATTGGATTTCACGGGTWGACAGACTTCCACCGCCTCCTAAGCTCATCAGCTGCCCAATGAGGCTCGACAATGGACTTTCAGGGAAAATTCGCCCGGTTCCCGAACCATCCCTTGAAAACGGGATACCAGGGAAAGTTTGCGGGCTACCGGAAATACCATTGGAAAACGGGATTTCCGCGAAATTACGTGGGCTGCCTGAGCCACCGTTAAGTCYTCTTCCTCATGCATTTAACAGAGTTAATRGTTTTACATCCCATAATTATCACCATTTCCTCGCCGAAGCCATCCATCCACAGTTTMCGTATCCCGATCATGCGCAGCCGGAATTTCCGTACCATCTTCGGATGCATTCGGACTGTAGTCGTGACATTCAATTATATCCTGGTCTCGGTACTTGCGGAGCGCACTTAGGGAGCCCGTTCTTCATTCCTACACATCCTTTCGGGTCTTCRCATCATGGTGGTGGCTKGTCACCTCTTTCTMCGCTCGACAAACATCCGAAAAAACTTGGCGATGGACTGAAAGACGAACAGAGCAAGTACAAATGTGAAATTTGTCACAGCTCTTTCTCTCTTCAGAGACTTTTAAACCGRCACATGAAGACCCATTCGTTCTACAAGCGATATCACTGTCAGTTTTGTGGCAAAGGATTCAACGATACGTTTGATCTCAAGAGACATATTCGCACACATACTGGTATTAAACCGTTCAAATGYAGCGACTGCGAGAAGGCGTTTACTCAACGATGCTCGTTGGAAGCGCACCTTACGCGYGTGCACGGYATTGTGCATAAGTATGGGTTCCGAGAGCGAAGAGATAAGATGTATGTGTGCGAAGACTGTGGGAAAACGTACAAAGAATGTCCCGATTACATGAAGCACATTCACGAACAACACCCTGAAACCGAGAAGATCATTCGTGCGAGAAGAAACGGCTTCGCTAAAATYAAAGTATCGTAGTTAATGCTGAATATAACAATAGGCTAGACCTCGCCCTCGGGCTTGGCATAGAGTAGACGCTCCCGGGCATCGGCGTAATGCTCACCAAGTTCAGATCACTTGATTCTCCTTAAAAAACGCCTCCTTGAACAAAGGCCAGAACATGGTTTTTGTTTGGGAAAGTATTGGCAGACTCTTAAGTTTTGATATCATATTTTTTTTAATCCGTGACTGCGTGGCATTGCAAAGGGACCAATGTTACTCGTAGACTGAAAATGCCAAGCCCATTTGATAGGTTGCAAAGGGACCAATGTTACTCGTAGACTGAAAATGTCAAGCCCATTTGATAGCCAAGGTGATATCCAAGCTTAAGGGTTATTTTGCCACTGGGCTACTGGGTTCTGCTTCCTCCGCATTCGTTGATTGGCAGTACGTAAATATACAAAATGTTCTAACCAGGTAAACAAGGTAAACCAACCTTGTGAAATGGTAAGCCTTGTAAAGTAGCCTCTTGTTTGTCATGTTTTATGACAAGCTCTCCAAACCCAGTAATTCGATTGCTTGCCATGGAAATTTCACTTAGTATTTTAGTGTACTTAGAAAGTCACATTGATTCATCCTAGATTAGTTTTGTCATATTACTGGTGTTCTCACTCCGGTCCATGATTTCATCAGTTTTTCTGATTGTGTTGAAAAACTACGCTAATTGTTCAGCAATTTCAAAACGTTTGTCTTAGAGAATTATGACTAACACTTGTAAAGGTCGATCATGCTAAAGGAACCATTGCTCTCCTGTCTGTTAACTTATCGCGGATTGAGGTCATATTCACCAATACCGATAGTTACTGACTTATAACATACATATTCTTATAGTTTTTGTTTACCTTGAAGTAAATTCTCTTCCACAAGCTTTTTGAAGTATCAGTATCAAGCTCAGCTTGTACTATAGTCATGTGACTTATCACGTGATAGACAGTGTTTCCTAGGGTAACGAACTACATTCAATCATCTCGAAACTAAAAAGATTTATAAAGTATTAAGATATCAGATTATTTATTGTTAATGTTGCGTTTGAAAGAGAATATTATTATTGAGRCTGTAAATCAGATTGTTGTAAATATTATTAAGCCACAAAAGGAAAATATTAAGYATGGAAAATCCTCTTTTTTACAGAAGGTTTACTTTGGACAATACTTGAAAAAACATCAAAATCTCTACCATGAGTTTTAAGTTATGATTATTGTGGTAAAGTTTATTAATGTTGTAATTTCTTCCGGCAATKTTCAATTCGTTTTAAGAATTCAGTCGAATAGTGTATCCGTACTTTTGTATRCGGTTTTCGTTTCGTTTCTTCTTTTTCTCACTTATTTTGAGCTCTTTCGCTTGGCTKCGCTTCGTTTTATTATGTAAATTAGCTTTATACGTGTTTGCTTCSAGCCGTCACTTTTATTAGCTTTGACAAATTTTAAGAACTTTATTTTTGATATTAAAAACACAAGTTTAGATACGAAACACGTCGATTTGTTTTTAAGTAACTGCAGGCTAGTTATATCCATTGATTTCRGGAAAACAAATTTATGCTTACGTGCTCTTTTAGAATAATTATGAAATCAGCCAATCACTTGACRTAGTTTGAATCACGTGACCAATTAGGTAATTGAAATTTATGATCATGTGATTAAATGAGCCAATAAGGAACAATGATTTTCAAGTGATGTAATTGATAGAATGCTATTTGACATTTTGATGATTATATAAGGAAATGATTTTTATTATCCGAGATTTTGCAAATAAAGTTATTTATGYCATCTTGAAACATTGTTGCTACTTGATCTTTKTGTYATCATCGATGGCTAAGCAAAATCATGCGGCAAAAACTTCCCAAACTCCCACGAACCGCGATTGCTAATTAGTACTGGGATAATTACRAAAGATAAGAAGSKCACTAAAAAGTGTCCAAAAGGGGATTTTACTTACTAAAGGTGATTCAAAAGATACTACTCAAAGAATTGTGTACACGATCGTGACTCGAMAAATCGTTGCTAGGTGATCGGCACAAAAGTCAACCAAGCCACCTTAATGTGAGTGGCTTACAAGGAGCGCAAGTTCTAATCTTTGTGAAAGATGTTTTACTGCCTGTTGTGTTTGTAAAAGCGCTTTTGATTTCCGCTCTTTACATTAAAAACTCCTCTTTTACTGTTAAATAATATAATGTAACAGTAAAGCACTTGTGTTTAAATGCGTTTGTTGTAGACGGAAATGACTTACTGACTAGAAACCCGCTTAGCCGTTAATCACAGGATGAGATGTACCACTATTGAGTTACTATTCTAATCTTTGGAGCCAGGATTAAAAACAGATATTCCGACCGACTTTTTATGTTATTTATGGCCTCTTTGACTCGATACAGGATTTTCATTGATCCATAATTATTGATTAAAATGTTTGTTCATTTGTATAGTAAGCCATATTTTCTTCTATTTTGGAACAAGCTTAACAACCTCTCTCAAGAGTCTTCAGAACTAGTTGAAACTCGACGCGCTCTCTCTCAGCATTGAGTGATTTACATTTRCACAACATTCAATAACAAAACTTATCAATGCTGTTGCCATCATACGGTGGGCCATGCAGTAATTAGCGTTCTAACTAGAGCTTTCTTTTACATGTACATTTCCATTAGTRCATAATAACTAGCTCTTTGGATCTACTAAACCACTGATATCGTTGATACCGTTTGATTATTATTTCAATTATTATTTCTATTTATTATCGTCATCATGCTATATTTTTATTGTCGTTATAGTTGTCGTTGTGGTCGTCATTGTTGTTTTGTTATTATTGCTATTGTTTCGAATAAAACTGTAAGGCCGCCATCTTGAATTCTGAAGACATTGCAAGGTGTGTGCATCGATTATTTCGTGCTCTGAATTCGAATTATTTGATTTGATTTTCAAATTTTATATACGATGTGAAATTGAATCCCTTCTGTGTCGTATAGTCTACAAAACCTTTATTGATGCGGCACTGGCATCAGACTGATTCTTACTATAAAAAAACAAGATGGCGACTGTATTAAGGCGACAACCTTGAGAGTACGGCAAGTGATTGCTTGTAACTCGTTATATTAAAAAAGAAATAAAAAAGCAAACTGCGGAACAATAATTTCTCGTGTCAGGTTTGTTTTACGAATTTTCATACATAAATTATCGCCCCTTGGTGTCTTATTTGCAAGCCGATGCTTTGGCAAAAACTACCGGCTCCACCATTTAATGCAATTTGCATTTTATTTTTCCCTTCATTATTATATCATATAAATATGGCGGGTTTTAACCTAAAAAAAAGTCAATCGATCGTTTAAGTGAATTGATGTAAATTAGCGTAATTCGAGTTAAAAACGAGACATGCCTTGTGTGTTTCGCTAATTAAGAATTAAGAAAACACACTTGCATAGGAGGACTGGTGAGGAAATTCTGTAAAACAGAAGTAAAATGAAGCTAATGCAGCATGGGAGAATGGTACTATTAGATATACCACTGGTCGGGTCGCCATATCTCTGAAACGTCTTGTGATAAAACCTATCGATACCATCACTGACATTATCTCTTGTGCAGGTCGTTTTATTCCAAGCAGGAAACACCTTTATACGGTATAATAAACGATTTTTATCCGTTGGTTTACGTACATTGCTATTCTTAGCGCACATGTGACGTCATTGCCGCCATATTGGATCAAAAGGCGTCCATCTAACATGGCGTCGCTTTGTTCCTCGTTTCTCGGTGAATTCTTGGTATTATAGTCAAGTACGTAACTTAAGTATGCTCTCTGACATTTTCACATCTTTTTCTATGGCAATTTTTTTTTTTTGCAAATTTGTTTGAAGAACATCTGTTATCAAAGGTCATTATGAATATTGTTTTGAAAGCCTGAAAGATATGGAAACTGTTGGTTGATGAATTCGTGCGGTTATAAATACATGCAGTTCAGTGGAAGTTTGCATAATTAGCCCCACCCAAAGCATTGGAGGAAATTTCCAAAATAAACTTCGAAGTTTTGAAGTCGTCGTGAAACGATTTCTGCTGTAACTTTCATGGTGGGTGGTGGGAAATTAACTGAAGTTGGTTAGAAACTTTTTACAATGCATTTTTGTAACCAAGATTCCACTTTGCTCGCGTACACATCTATTACTTTAATGAACCTGGACAAACTCTTATTAATATCATTGATCTAACATACAGTATCTCGTCTCTATAGTTTTATGAGACTGTCTTATAGCCTTAGTAAGTCATGATCTGAACATCTGTTCTTCCTTTAATTGAATTTTTTTTTTTTTTTGCAATTTTATTTCGTATTTTTTTATATTCAAATGTATTGTTGTTGTTGTTGTTTTGTAGTAAGCGCCATAGAGTTTTAGATATAAAAGTTATTATCATTGTAAAGTCATCTCATTTAACTGAACTTCCAATATTCGTCTTCTCTACAACGCCACTGTTTAATCTGATTTGTGATATTAAATTGTAAAAAGAACAAGCGGTCCGTCATAAATTGTCTCGGCGTGTATTTAAAACTAGGGAAAAGTTTAATTGTTCAGCTACTAATCATCCGGATTAAGTTTATTCCTTAGATTAAAAAAGACAGTTAAAGGACAAATGGCCTATTTTTCTTCTTTATTGATCTTTGAATAAATTTATGAATAAGTTGAGGGACTTAATATTTCCCACTATTGATTTGTTCATTTATTCTTTCACTTTTAAAGGCATTTATCCAGAAGTTCTCCCATTTATTTATCTTACTATTCGTTTATTTTCCCATCCTTCCATCCCTTTACTCATTCATCTAACTTTCTTKTCCTTCTTTTCTTTTCTCGATCATTATTCATCCACCTATCCATTTTATCTTCCATTCATCATTTTTTTCATCCATTTGTTTCTCTTCTTACAGTTAATCCACATTTCTATTCCCGGTTCTTGTTGCTACGAGACGTGACATTTCAAACTGAATGATTTGGCGTTTCTGTACGTTATTAGCTGTTATTAATTTAATCGAAAAACGGAGACTTAAACGTTAATAAGGCTAATGGGAGYCTTTCAAAAGACCAATTACCCCATTCTATACATATAATTTTGCCTTTAGTGTTTTCAAATAAAGAAAATATTTATCATAAGGTAATGAGTGTAAAATCGTCAATGTAGGCAGTTTCTATCCGGCTGCAAAAAATAAACACAGTGTTTTGTTGTGCTCACATTAGCGCCGCTAGCATCAGGCATTTAGACGCTAGTGTAATCTTATGTTTTGGTTTGATCTCTAAGTAACTTTACATCAAAATCTTTCAATTTGCGCGAATTAAAGAAAGAAAAAGAAGTCATTTKGGCTAATTGTGTGTTTAGACCYGAGGCGATAGAATCAAAATACTGTGAAACGTTCCTTTAGCTAAATGAACGAAGTGGGTGGGATGACTTTGAAATCTTCGGCATATTAAGGACGGATGCTTAGATTTAGGGGAAAGTCATGAATTCGTATACTTAACGTAAATACTGAAAACCGTCTACTCAGTGAAAAAAATACCCGTAAGTACTAATTTCTTTGTCGCGGAAAAACGTTCATGACTTTGCGCACATAGATAAAAGAAAACCATTAAACTGAACTTTTTCTCAAGATATTTTGTTCTGAAATACTTGATAATTATTATATTATTAGGATATTATAGTTTAAAAACTGTTCATTTGTCATTTAAAGATACACGTATACCACTTGCACACGCTTACGCACCAATTTTTTATACGATAATGAAGATTTCATTTTAGTTCGGCCGGCTTTTTTGCAATTCAAATACAGATCTTTGCTGTCAGTTAAAGCTTGTTTATAATTCCTGCAAACCATCACAGCTGCTTCTTAATACAATCAAGATTGGGTCATATAGTCATCCTTGCTACAAAAGTGCATAACTACACCTTACGGAATTGAAGCTCTTTTTCTTCCGCAAGGGTTAYGCGGTATGATAACTCTAAAAACAGAGCGAGGTTTCGAGTTCAAGGTGAAAGGCCGTTGTAAACAACTGTTTTTAGGGGGTTATCAAACCGTTGGTTTCTTATGAGGGGTTGRAATACTATTCTGATAYAAGATCCCTGAATTCTGTTCGATAAGATTGCTTTGATAGATTCAAGTGAGCTACACCGCCGCACGTCGCTTCCACCTCTAAGATCTCATTTCACTTTAACTCGAATTGATGCCTTATTCAGATTTAAGCATCTTAGATTTCTTGATATCACTGAGAACATACTTCGCTGCTCTCGTAAAAAAAACTGTTAAAAGCCTAAATTGATTGTTTATTGAGGAAACTTAACTTTGAATTCAGTTTTAAGTTCTGCCTCAAGGTTTTAGTTCGTGTTTTCATCACAATTTTACCACCTTTTATGTTTACAAGCATGGACAAAACTAAACCTTTATTTTCAAACAAAAGTGTTTTTTTCCATTCCGTGCACGTGCGAATTTCATTTTAAAATACAGTTTTTCACACGTTTTCTGCCTTATTTCTCATACGCAGTGAACAATGTGTTGTAAAATAGACTTGAGAGTTGAGCAATTTTTAGAATTCAGTTTTTTTTGTGCATTAAAATACGCTGACCAAAAGATACTTTTCTTGGATTAGCAAGTGCGTATGCAGCTTTTCTGTCGCACGCTCGCGTGCTGCACTTTGAAGTCTGTTTCCGCGCATCAGTTTTGACCTTTTTTATCTTCCTTTTACTGCAAATGTTTGAACACTTTAGCGCTCTTTTTTGTGTTCAGTTTTCAAAAAATACTGTATCAAAACAAGGAGGTTTTTCCTTTGTCTTACAAGTTTATGTGTGGTTTACTAAGGAGTGCATATTCAAGAAAGCCGAAAACATCTTGTTCAGCCAACACTTAATGTATCATACATCATCTCAATTCGTCCCCAATTAGATGATAAAACAACTATCTCTACCATGATATCAATCTTTACATATTGACCAGAAATAATGCTGTCCTTGAACTATCATCAAATAAATGTCAGAATATGTTTGCTTCCCAGTTGAGAGTCTTTTCCAAAGATGACGCTTTGTAATCGGATAGCAAGCGGGCATTGCGCAAGCCAGTACCATCTGCAAGTAGAGAGACTGACTCGATATATTATACGGGGATAGTTTTGCAGCTCACGTGGGGTTGGAACGTCGCATGTCGGCCAAAGTTAATGATGACAGCTGCGAAAGAAGTTTATTTAAACTCAAACTGATCACTCAGTAAGAGCGCCAGCCAACACAGTGGCAGACCGTACTCTACATCAATCCAATCTCTATACAAAGATCACAGTTAGGTGTCTATCTAGCTAAAATCGCGCGCTATGTTGCCTGCTTTTTGCCAACCCATTGCGTTATCTGTTTTTTATAGACCATGCTGTCTTTATGACCTGTTCCGTTGGAAGGATCTGAAGGTCACTTATGTGGTCTGTTTTGTGATTACCGACGGCTTGATGGTGTTCGACAGACTCTTTTGAACTGTAATTAATAAACGTTTTATAGAGAGACTACTGCAACTTCCTGTGGCAATTTTCGCTCTATTTTCATAACTGTACACAGCCCACTTAGCTAAATTCCCCCGCCACTCAGTCTATCCACGTCAATAGCTCACAGTAATGAAAAATGTTCTCTTCTTTTACGAAAGACATTATGTTATCGCTCGCCCCGAATGAYTTATAAATAGATCAATTTTTCGCGCGCTATAGACTATCACACAAAGTCAACCCACTTTTCGATTGGGACTTTGGTAGATACTTCAATGACAATTTTGAAGTTAATGGTTATTTTACAGGAGTCAATATTTCTATGATCCGTTATAGCGTTATCTGCAGACCGTGTTTAGTAAACCCACAGTGAGTCTAGTGGTCTTCTATTTCACTTCGATTGTATGACACAAAGTGCTTGCCCGTATTCACATCATAAGTGGCTTGAGTCGGCTTTTTAGAAGTTTTCTTTTCAAGAAAAAATCATGCTTTACAGTAACTACAGGGTATTCAGTTACCCCTAATAGCTGAACTGTCAGTTTAGCTCGCCTTCACGATTGCCAGGTAGCTATCCAGTATTCAAGAAAAAATAAATAAAGTGTTTGAAAGCTCAGTAATTTGCGAATTCCGTTTAAGGTTCTTGATGTTTTTTCTTCAATCAATTCTAAAACAAAAGTTTGAATGATTTGATTATGTGTTTGAAAACAATGGTGAATCGCTTCCCGTACCGAAGGGTCTTTCTTTTCCCATTTCCTCTTAACAGTGCTCGTTCTTCCTGGCTAAATTGGTTCAACTCATTTCTTTTTGATGGCCCTATCACTACAATTATGAGTTATTAACTCTTCAGATCAACTCTGTCAAACCAGAAATAGAACGTCAAATCTAACCGCAGACCCTGACAAAAGTTGATGTCACTTATTTCTACCCACAAGCGAAGTCGTATTCACAACATTGGACCAACCTATTAGATGTACATATATATAGCGGTAATCGATGGTCTAATCGTATATCCGTTAACGTACTCTATGGAGCTAAATTTTCATTGTCGGTAAAACATGCTATTTAATACAGCTGTATTGAAAAGAACAACTTAAACTGAAATACAAACATTTCTTGCTTATCTTATACGGTCTTCAACTTTTCGCGATATTATCTTTTAGTATATTTTTCTCGGATTTGCTTCGCTTGCGAAACAGCGCGTGTTCATGTGTCTATACCATAATGTGTAACAGACTTCGGGCGATAACCTATCAGGGTAATGTCATATTTACTTTGCTTAATACGCTTTTTTCACTAAATGACTTCCTTAGAGAAACCATGGCGAATAACTTGTAAATATTCGTATTCACGGCAGTAGGCCGGAGAATTGGCAATTGTTTCCATAGCCAAAGTGACGCCTCGGAGTGAAAGTCAAAACGCGTTGATTACTGGGTCGTAAATCTAAAACTATATAACTAACTATAAGCGAGCTTTGTCTTCTTAATGACTTTTATTCTGCGCTTTTTTTCCTTCATCAAACAATTCAGTTTTTCTCCCCCCAAAAAATAAAAGCCGATTTTATTAGTTTATTGAACATGTGTTAAGATCAAATCAAATGGTCTCTGTTTCCTTTCTTGTTTATCGCACCATAGTGTTTACAATTCTAGTGTTTGTTGTTTTTTCATTTTGATTGAGGCGCAGTGTTTATCGCCATGACAGGCCTGTATTTTAGAAGGTCACGTGGTCTTCAGTTCAACCATACGTGCCATACATCTCCTCACTTAGCTAGTGCGCGTGAGACCAAAAGTAACGGTTTGAACGACAAGTCGGCAAGATAGCCAACCCTTTTAAGGTACACAAGGAAATTTCTCAGAGTTATTTTCTCATTTCTGAATATGATGCATTTTGTGTATATTTTAGAGGAATAACAGATACAAAGTATCTATAACATGCCTAGATCGTTCTTGGTTAAGAACAAGAGGACCCTAAAAGCTCCCAATGGCAGTGAGGACCAAGTATTCCAGCCTGAAGATGATGAGGGTAAGAATCTCTGGTGCTATTTCATGTTGTTTTTGGGAGTTATTGAGGCGCGCGCGCTTTGCGTGGTTGATATGGACTGCTTTTTATTCTTACTGCGTTTCTTTGTATTTGTGTGTAAAATGGACTGTATAAAAATAAAACCACTAGCATAGACAATGCTTTGACCTTTGCAACACCGAATATGAAAAGACTATTTAAGGCAAGCACGCACCGATTTGATATCCATCTTGGAACAGAAAACTGAAAGAAATGATCGCGAACAGGCTTCTTCTAGTATTCACATATAACACAAGCGCACAATCTAACTAAGCATTTGAAAATCAAATACACCAGCCTAACTATCAAAGGCAGAATGGTAAATTGATTGACAAAAATAGAAGATAGTGTTTCGCTTTAACCGCAAGAGAAATCTATAGAGTTGCGAGGGGGTGGGAACAAAGTCGACTTATCTTGCTTGTTAATGGACAACATAACAATGCCTCCATTCCGAGGCCATAACTTAACAACACATTATTCTCAATACAAGGCTACACATTTTCAATCAAGACTCATGGTGAAAGCATGAAAGAAAGTGTGAATTCTTAATGATGTTGAGAACTTCGGCACTTCAGTCAATGAAGCGATGTGGTTCTCGCGTTTTGGTGTCTCAAAGCTTTCATGGTTTTTCAAGAGACAAAACTATGTCGCGAACAGCCGAACGCTTCCTTTGCAAGCTGTTATTTTTGGTTAATATTGTTAAATTCCTACTGAAGAAAACTTTTTAAGTCCATTTTAAATCAATGGAATGATTGTTGATCCTAATGCACTCAACAATTGTAGACCATATAGAAAGTGTTTGCACAACCCATGTAACGCGCGCTTAGAACTGTTGCCTTTAGACATGTCATAATCTACAGTGTGCTATACTTCTCTTCTCGCAGGCAAATATCAACGCGTATATTGCCATAAAAAGGGTTTTTGACACCTTCATAATGCAACAAACGCTTTCTCTATTCATAGCTAATTACTGGATGGCTAACTAGTCGGTTTTCCTAACAGCCCAATTACTTTATAAGATGGGAGATTTTTTCTCCTCTTTTCACATGAACTTCTTTAATTCAAACATGATTTTATTTATTATTATTAATATTTTTTATTCTCTGGAAGCATTTGATATAAAACAACTCTCAAAGCTTTGTTCTGAGCTTTATATGATCAGAAAACTACACAAAAATATACTTGTTTCAGCTCATTTTAGATTTAGTTTCAATGTGGGACAAGCAAGTAAACTATTGCTTTGTTCGTAAAATCTCTACATATTTTACATTCGTTTCAACTTTCTTAGTCTTTTCTAAAAAAAAAAACAGAAGCCCCTTTTACATAAACATATTTTTTTTTTCCTTTAATATTTCCGATTTTGTCTGTAATTTTAAAGTAATTACAAAACTAACTTGTCTTTTAATATCCCAATGGCATACGCTCTATCTCATAAATTTACACTAGACAGGTGCACGAGGCTTGTATTTATACCTGACAACTACCGCACGGGCCAACAGCCACAAAGGCAAACGCTTCCCATTGTGTTGTTCATCATTTACGGGACATTGTTTGTTTATCAGAGTTAATAGAAAATCAGTTACACGAGTAAACACGAACTAAAGAGAGAGTGTGTTTTTAATTTAGATGGTTTTCTTATTAGCTTGCCAGTGAGCAGGTTTGGTCTGTATTAGCTTAGCCTCTGTCTTCTTACGAACATTGAACTCTTTTTACTTGTCCTAAATATTTGCTTTTATTTTGACGAAACTCGTAAATCAGAATTTGAGAAATTACAAGCGTTTTGTTTTCTATTTATCACGAGTTTCAAAGTATAAAGAACTACACATATTTCTACATATTGAAAACTTGATAATATTTCTCCCCTATTCTGGTATTTTCAATTTTTTTAGCTTCTATGTAAGCAAAGAGCTCAGCATGAATGAATCAAACTGAAAACAGTTCTTATAAACGAGAAATCGATTAGGCAACGAAAAAGTCTTSAACATAGATGCGCTTATTTTCTCTTACTTTAAGATRTRATGAGAGAAAAGTAGGGAAATGCTTTCTTTAAGAATCAAAAAGGACAATTTAGACGGCAATACACTCGTTCATCCTCTAGTTATTCAAGGGAGAGCCTTTTGATTAATATTGTATTCATTTTTCCATGTTCTAAGTGTGTTAAACAAGACTTTACCGGCGCTCATGACATTAACGGGATCCTAATCTCCACAGATCGAGTGTCAAAACTCTTTTAAAAATAAAAAAACATGACTATAATTTAGTTTCATTTTGATCAGGGATATTCGATCCCCAGTCTTGTAAAAAACGCAGGGTCTCAGTAGGTAAAAAGAAAAAAAAAAGAAAAAGTAACCATCTCTGTCTAGTCTATGATAGGTATACGGTGCGGTTACTGCTCCAAAGATTGATTATATAGATCAAACTCTACATCACAAAGAATTATTCTATTTAGAATACGTCGAAAAAGTAAATAAATGTTACAAAAAGCAAACTTTCCAGCCATAAAACCGAGTTATTGGACTTTTTCGGTATCAGTAACTAAAAGTGCTGAGACGGTAGTTTTTCATTAAAATAGTACATTAGAAGGTAACTGTATTTATGGTCAAAATCAATTGAAATTGGTCTGTCCAATACAATATATTTCGAATTCTGAGAAGTGTTTAAAGAGGGCGAAGTGGCTACTTCCTAATAACTATAAAGATCGATAAAAAACGGCGCAGTTTTATCGTAAATCTATTGCCCAATCATGTCAAAGATAGTATGAAGCTACTTTATCTGGATATAGGGGRAAATAGTCCAGTTTTTTTGCCTTGTGAAATTCTTTAATTGTAATATTGTTATATAGCGAAGTTAAATATGGTCTTTGTTCGCTGCACTATGTACACAATCTTTCCTTTATGTACTCTCATCCACAGTAATCTAAATAAAAGATGGTCTTTTCGATAARCTCRGTGTGTAAACCAATTTATTCTACTTTCACTTGAAAAACATAATSSTCTTTTTGCTGTTGTGCGTCTTTTGCGGCGCGGTTTGCGGGGCTGCATTTTGAGATGACGAAAAGTCTCACCGTTAGACTGATGTTCCAAGAGGAACGAACAGCTCTTTCTGTTAGGAAATTAGTTGTGTTTTTAATTTACCACTTTAAATTCTGTCAAGATTACAGCCGTTTTGTACAAGTACAATGTCATGTCTCGGTTTACAGATCAAAATAAGATTGAGCGCTTCATGAGTCATTGGTACAGTTCGACAAATCGCGTGAGTCGGTGAAATTTTCCTTTGGCTTGGAAAGGTGGACTCTACAATTTCTATTAAATATACAAGTTTTATTTTAAGCTCTTACGATTAAGCCTGCTAATTAGGTCGAAAACTCTTAACAAAGGGCTCGTGCACAATTGGATAAAGAGAACAACAAAATGTTCCCCCAAAAAAATAATAATAACGTTGTTTTCAAACAATAATACAGTTGCAATCTTAAAGTTTTGTTATGATAATAAACGTTCAGTAGATTTAACCAATTGAATGACGATACTGCGATAAATCGCCTGTGAAATTGTTTGTTTTGAGCGCTTAAAGCAAGGCAAGATTAAAACGGAAGGATTTAAGCCTTCATTTTCCCATCACATAAAAGTTATTCCAGAGAATTCTGATGTTTTTTTCCTAATGCGTCATGGATATTCCTACAAACGCGCACTTTTATTTTCCTTGAATACGAAAACTACGAGTGAAACTTATCGTTAAATAAAGTCTTATGTTTGCAAAAATGAGCATGAATTCAGAGGATTAGATGTATTTCCATGAGAGTGAAACAGTTGTCGCCGGAGATTTGCTGCTTCGATGTCATCTTTTTTAGCAAGATGGAAGTTCTCGTAACTCAAAGTAAACGCTGTGTGAGTGACTTCAAGCTATGCTCTACCCTAAACGGCCAGAAACAGATATCCTTAACTAAATCATCTTCATTGATGCTTGCTTTATATGTTATTTATATAACAAAGTCCAGATTATTAAAGATTGCGAACCAGATTAAGACTGTGGTTCAGACGGTATAGAGCGATTCCGATCAAAGGTTGTGAAACAGGGAACACCATGTTAGTTTCTACCAAACTATCAATATTTTATAACTGTCCTAATTCCATCCACTTCAACCGTAACCCCAACCCTAACCTAAAACACGGAACAGATTGAGCATTCACTAATGCCACCACCGCAGTCTCCGCATGTGTTTGAATCAAAGGAAAACGGTCTTGGTTTTTGAGAAAAATAGACCCGAAATAGACTTCCCTACTAAAGGGCGGAAAATGAGCTTCCTTGAGCCTCATCTAGAAACTCGGTTGATAAACACGTCTTGAAGTCTAGATTTTGTCACAAGGGAGTAAAATTCGTTTAATTTCAAGGCCTTTTATAATTCAAGAGTTCCTGGTTTGAAATTTGCCAACGGTCGTCGGGACATCTTGTTGCCAATGTTTTGATTGACTTGTTTTAACAGTGAAAATCGCGAACGGTTGATTGATTTGGCAAAAATCTTTTATTGACTAAAACTTGGATGATATATCAAAAACAGAATGAAATTGAATGGGAAAGTAGAGAAGAGAAAAGAAGACAACAAACAGACACAAACCTTTTTCGTTTACATTAAAAAAGAGTGAAACTAACTGGCAGAACGCAGTCTTATTGCAATAGATAATATGAACACTTGATGGAGTGAAAATATATAAAAACCAAAATGATGATAATTGTGGATGCCATGTCGAAGTTCTTGTGTCAAAATCTCTCAAACAAAAAAAATATAACAAACAATGTACTAACTTAGAAAAACGACGTCACCTCATAAAGATTGAAAAAGGATGTAGATGAAAGGGAATGGTACAATAGACATTCCTTTAGATGCTTAGGTATTTTTTAAGAAAATAGACGATGAAATGTGAATGAAAGTCTTTTAGGCATTGAAAACCTTTGAGTCTGAATAAGTG